TATGGCTCCTTTTTGATATTTCTACATGTCAACTGCTGAGGTACATTGGGCAGATGTCATTGTCACCCCCATTTTATAGGTGAGGAAACCAAGGTCGAGAGGGTAAATGACCATATGCAGTCACACAGCTAGTCAGAGGCAAAGCTGTCCTAGAACTCAGGCCTCTCCCAGCCCAGGCCATGGGAAGAATGACACATAGATGAGGGGTCATTGGGATGGGGCCAGCCCCTCACCTTTGTCAGCTTCTCTCCTCTGGTCTCTGTCCCTTCCTTCCATCCCCCGAAGTGGGCAGTGACACTGCTCCCAACACCTGACACCCCTGCCCTGGCCAGCTCCTGTATCAGCTCAGGTTTCTTGAGGATTGAGTTGCTCACAGCGTTTGGCTGGTGGGCACCTGAGCCCCTGGAGTGGGATGGACCTGGCCTCCCGGAGATACTGCTCTTCCTCTCCAGAGACAATGAGAAGGAACAAAGCGGTCCCTACTGCAGATAGGGACGGGGTGAGAGGGGGCTCAGCTCTGGGCCTGAGGAAAGCAGACTCATGGCTGCCTGGAGGGAGGGCTCTGGGATAAGCATGGGTTCCTGGAAGAGGACAGTGCCACGTGCAGGCCAATTCTGGCAGGCCTGCTTAGGCCCTGGCACTCACCTCAGCCCTAGCCAAGACTTCTTCCCTTTAAAGGCCCTCCCCACATGAAGACATTCACTGGGGAGACCTCTCTGTGTCCTGGCTGTGGGGAGCCCGTCTATTTTGGTAAGTGACAATAAAAGGCTTGGCACCAACACTAGGTGAGCAGCAAGGGGCAGGGAAGTGACCCACAGCAGGTGGGTCTCCCTGCCCTGCTCCTAGAATGGAAGAGCTACCTCTTCTCTCCACCACCAGCTGAGAAGGTGATGTCATTGGGCAGAAATTGGCACCGGCCCTGTCTGAGGTGCCAGCGTTGCCGGAAAACCCTTACCGCTGGGAGTCATGCTGAGGTGAGCAGGGTAGAGAACGATGGTTGTGTTGAGAGAAGGGAGGCTGGAGATGGGAAAGAACCAGCTAAGATGGCTCTCTTTTTCTCTGTGTCCCAGCATGATGGCGTCCCCTACTGCCACATCCCCTGCTATGGTTACCTGTTTGGCCCCAAAGGTGGGTAGCCCCACCCCGACACCAAGCCTAACCTATGGCATGTACAAGGTCATGGGGATGTGTGGACAACTTCTCTGTGGCCAAATACACCCCAGGACTCTCCCACTTCTCTCCAACCCTCAACCCAATGCCCCCCAGACACAAGGCCCTTGATGATGGCATTCTCTTCCTCAGGTGTGAACATTGGCGATGTGGGCTGCTACATCTATGACCCGGTGGAGATAAAATCCAAATGAGATACTCACAGGAGAGCTCGCCCTAACTCAGGCTCCCACCATCCCCTCCATGGTCCCGTAGGCGCTACAGCCCCGTGGGGGTGAGGGGAGGTGGGATCCTGGAGGCCTGGGCCTGTGCTCCATGGTAGGACAGTGTCTAGACTTCCTCTCATGCTTACCTTTCCAGTGCCTATCTGGTTAGGGGATATAGACCACCCCAGTTTGAAGGGAGCCCCTTGGCCTTCCAAATTCCTTTCACCAGAAAATTCTGGAACTTTAAGGTACTCAAAACATTGTGTTTATTGAGTCTTAGGCTCTCTGGCTTCTCCAATAAAATGCTGGTTCCCATACTTCAACTTTTCTTTGCCGTGAGCCCTAGACAGTAGGTTAGAGGGTGGGGAGTGAGGGAGTGGGGAGATACACTGTCCTGCAGAGCACCTGCATGAGAACTAAAAGCTCTGTTCTCCTGGTGCCCCGTGCCTGGCATTGGTAGCCCCTGGCTCCACACAGTGGACAGTGCACCAGCCTTGTTGGTGCCAGAGGTCATCACAGGGCAGTCCTTTCTTTAGCACCACCACTAAAAGAAGCACCTTACTCAGCATCTCATTTGAGCAGACAACAGATACTACGATACAGGCTGTCAAGAGGCTTCATTATCCATTTGGGAGAAGAACAGACTGAGACTCAGAGAGGGAAAGTCATATGTTCAAGGTCACACAGCAAATCAGTGGCAAAGTTGGGATCAGAACTCAAGGCAGACTCAGTGTCTCTGTTTGCTTTGTTCTTCCCATAGCTCCTCACTGATGCCCCAGCCCAAGGGGCATCTTTACTTATAGACTCCCTCCAGTCATGAGAGGGGTGCCTAGATGCTCCAGTAGCCCAGAGCACTCTGGGAGGTGATCTATTGTGGAGGTCAAACCATTGAGACTGGGTGAACACAAGAAAGGGGCACCAGTAGCATTTCTGGCCCTGAGTTTGATGCCCCTGGCTCCAGTCACAGGGCCTGCCCGCCCTCCCCCGCCCAGCTCTCCCAGCTGCAGAGTTTCTGTGCAAGGCTTATCCCCATGCCACTCAGTTCTGGACCTGCTTCATGGTCATCTCTTCTTCCTGAAGGCTGGTCAGGGCCCTGGAGAGGAAGGAGTTGTGAGCAGTGGTGGGCTTCAGTCCCCACGCCGTCTGCCCCATCAGGGCTGGCCTGGTACCTTCCCAGCTCCTGGTACACACACGTACTCACAAGTGAGCCATACATACTATCCCATCCCTGATTCCTAGGTATACCTGAGTGTGCACACACACAGCTCTTCCTGAACAACCTCAGGAATCTGCATGCACACATGTATGAACTCCTGCACACTTTTATGCACACAGCTTATACACCCAGGTCATGCACCCTGAAACACATGTGCACACTCATATATGTGTACCAAGCGCACTTGAATATGTGTTGTCTTTCCTGAATCCTCAGGTGCCTGAGCACCTGAACCCACATGCATGTGCTCACACATACACAGTTCCGTGCACACACCTTTTACTCTCCACATCTTGGATGGTCTCTGGCAGCTGTGCCTGCCTCGTCTCTGGCAGCAGAAGGGCAGTGCAGGCGGCCAGCAGGGCAATCCCACCATAAGCCAGCTTGGGCAGCGGCAGCCACACTCCATCCAGTAAGGCTGCCAGTGGGGCCAAAGAGCCCCCCAGCCGGCCCACGAGGGCAGTCAGCCCCATCCCTGTCTGTCTGTTCGGAGAGAGATGAGGGAGGCAGTTGGTGCTCACACCTACTGCCCCACAAGGGTCCCCTTCTGGGCTGGCAGGCCCTCATACCCCTTTTGCCCCAGATAGTAAGAAAGTTAGAGCTTCTTCAGTTGGTCTTCCCAGGCCAGGAGCCCCCAAGTCGGCACCCACCAGAGGACTGGAACCCCCATTCTGACAGTATACTAATCAAGTACAACTGAAAAAGAAGAAATTCACCAGATGAGGAGTGGGGAAAGGGTAGTAAGGAAGGAAGAGAGATGGCAGCTTGTACACACCCTGCCAAGTTATTAGAAGAGCCGCCTGTCTTTCTCAGTAACCAGATGTCTACAAGTCTCTCCCAACCCAGATGGCCAGCTGAAAGGACCCCAGCCTTGGGACCAGAGACAACCTCCAGGGGGAGCTCTGCCTCAGCACCAAGGAATAGGCCATGAATGGGATGGAGTGGGCAGGATGGGGCTTCTTGGGACTGTTTTCTTTTTTTAATTATTTATTTAATTTTATTTATTCATTCATTTATTTTAATTTGACCAGACTCTCTCTCTCTCTCTCTCTCTCTCTCTCTCTCTCTCTCTCACTCACACACACACACACACACACACACACAGAGAAAGAGAAAGTGAGAAAGCAAGCCACCAGGTCCAGTACTTGAACTGTAGTCAGCCATGTGGGAGTGTCCAGTGCCTTATCCACCACGCCATCTGCTAGTCCCCGGGACTGTTTTCTTTTAAAGAAGGCCCAGAGAGGTTGTCTGACTTTGATTAGGGTTACACAAGACAGAGAGAAAATGCCCTGCCTTCTCCCCAGTACTCAGTCAACACAGATGGCCCTGGCTAGCTCTACATCATGTGGTGTAGTGTAAGAATTAGAATGGGGCAGCAGGTGATATGGTGATTAAAGGTGCTGTAGTCCCACATGGCTGACCGTGGTTCGAGCACCAGACCTGGTGGCTGGCTTTCTTGCTTTCCTTTTCTCTCTCTCTCTCTGGTCAAATTTTTTTTAAATGAAATTAATAATTCTTAAAAAGAATCAGTGAGAAGGACTGAGGTGCAGTATACATGAGAAAGTGTGAATTAAGACATGCGACTGCGACCAGCAGGTGGTGTAATGGTCAGGTCGCCGACTGTGGCGTAGTCAACCGTGGTCCCAGTCCTGGACACGACGGCTTAAACTCACGCCGGGCGCGTGTGTGTGCGTGCCCAAGATCCCGAGAGGAGAATGGAGGAGAAGGGACTACGGTGTGGCCATCCCCCCAGGGGGTGCTTTCTCGCTTTCTGTCTCGTGGGGGAGCGCACACTCCCTATAGCAAAAAACTCTTTAAAAAAAAAATAAGACAAGACATGTGACTAACAAGCCTCACCCCCCACCCCCAGGCGGCTGCCTGGGCTGCGGGCCGCCCTCACCTGAGCACCGTAGGGTACAGCTCCGAGGTGAACAAGTAGGCAGTGGTGAAGGCGGCTTCAGAAAATCCTTTCCCCATCACCGCCAGAGCGGTGCTCCAGGACTCCGTCTCTGCGGGAAGGGGTTCCGGCGGTGAGGGGCAGGGCCGGGCGCGGGCGGCAGGAGTCGGAGCTCCC